GCTAGGGAGGGTGTGTGTGTGAATGCATAAGTGCACGGTATATACTCCTCCAACGCAAATAAAATCAATCCAAAGCATTATACAGAATAAAATGCTTTGCACTCAAGTGGCACATTCTCAAAAGAGCTGAAGTTTTCCAATCTACTTCAGAAATACACTGTCATATATACTTCCACACCTATCACAGGTTACTTTTAGGAAAAGGAAAGCCTTGAATGAATTAGAACTTTTCTTAGGGCAGCAAACATTTGTCTTCAAACTCTTTCTCATCAAAGCCAACATCGGCTCCTAATGGAGCATAAATTAAAAGCCTTTGTTAAACTGGACACAGTGGAGAGCTGCCCTGAGCCACTGGCCTGATCTGACACAGACAAGAGGAGACACAATTTTTATGCAGAATGATAAGCTATTAAGCCTGGAACAAAAAAGGTATCAGCAAGAAGAAAGGAACAAGAAGCCTTTCAGTTAGATGGGACAAAGTGAAGAAAATCCTGACACGTGCTCTGAGTTTCATGATTCTTCTCTCTTGTCCACAACAGCAATTTATGACAAGCACAGTATATTGCTCCCACTTTACCACGATGCATTCAAGAATTTTCCATGGGCAAAGGCAAGGAAGATGCTAACATCACTCTCACCTGGAAATTTAGAAAGCCTTTCTGTATCATGGAAAATTCTGAAGAGCAACACTAGGAGTTATTTAAGAATCAAGACATCTGGGAATGGAAATAGGTGAATTACATAGAGCAGAATTCAAACTAAACAGTGCTTCTGCTAATGTAAATTGGATGTGTAAAAGGCAAAATAAGACAAAATAAGAAGTACTAAGATAATCAAAAAATAATCTCGATACTGATTTTGTCTTGTTGCAAGGTGAAAGCTGTCAAAGTAGTAAATTTCTTGTTATAGACAGCAGTACTCAGTGGATTATAAAAAAAAAAGCAACAAAAACATGAAAAACAAAAACCAAAGAGAAAGAGAGGAATGGAATTAAATTATAAAACAAAAAAGGAAATTTTTTTAAGACACAGGCTCCCAGACAACAAGGTACATCAACAGTACTGTCAACTCCGAAACATTCAGTGGCCTTGTAAAAGACAGAAGGTTTCAAACAGACTTAGAATTGTGCATCTACTTTCATCTAAGAGTAAGGGGGGGTGGGGAGAAAGGCTTAGGTAGAGAAGCCATTCCATGACCACACTCCAGGGCAGAAGAAGAAGCAGAGAGGATAATTCAGTATATACCCATTCCTTCTGTTCAGGGCAGGTTGGCTCTGAACAGAATTCAATTAACACCCAGCAAGCTCAACTTTCTCCTAGCCCTGCCATCCCTGAGGAAGAACAAAAAGATTCTTAACTTTTTTCTTCCTCAAGTTATTATTTTAAAGTTGGAGAAGAGGTTGAGAGAAGGGATCTTCACTGAGGTCACATATCAGGCTCCTTGTCAAGTCCAGATACTTATGTATCTAGAGACAACCATTCCCAAAGCTCTTTAGAACAGGATCTGAAAGGTACTTATGAGACTACACCTATCCTGTTGCACACAGCACATGTGTGAGTGATGTGCTTGTTATCTTCAATACTTAAGTAAATCATGTTGCCCAATAGCCATGGGAGTGACCTGCTTACCTATATATACATATACATTTAAGTTTGTGTGTGTGAAGAATGTGAGAATCAAAGACAAAAATTACTTTTAGAGATAAAAAAAATAAATCCATCTACAATGCTTTAAGGGTAAAACACACCAAAACCAATGAGTTCTATAAAAGTAATGAAAGCTGAAAGTAAATTTTAGACAACAAAGCACAACCAACTTTAAAGCACAAATGAAATAATTACATAAAAGACATTTGGGTATACAGTCCCAAGTCAAAAATGTAAGGAAAGACAGAGCTATGGCGAGGACAAGTTGTTACTAGCTCAAGAGAAAAGGGATGCTTTAATCAATTTTGTTAGAGGATAAAGATAAATCCCTCAAAGTAAAACAGAGGATGTGTATCTTAAGGATGTATTCCTACTTCAAGCAGAAATGGAAGAGGGAATTTGTCTGTAGCTCCACAAGAGGACAGATAATATCAATAACATAAAACAAGCTGAAAGAACATTACCCACTGAACTTCATATATACTACTGCTAATTTACAAATACATTTTAACTCCTACATTAATGGGCTTTAAAAGAAATGGATATCCTGTGCATTAAAAAGGGAAAAAATGGGAATTCTACCTAAAAGAGAAAAGATGACTGTGCTTAGCAAAGATGTACTGGCTACTAGCACAAGCCTTAAGATGAGCAGAGATTTACTCTAGTTAAACAAATTGCAAATTAGCAAGAAAAAAAACCTTGATCTGCACAGAAAAAAAACCCACCTCAGGTATCCTACATTTCTTGAGACATAAAGAAAGGTTTTAATCAAATAGAACACAAATACTTATTTTAGAAAAAGAAGATTTTGCTTTTCCTCTCTTGTATTGGGAAGTTAGAACTTCTGAACTAAGCAGCAGCATCCTGCTACTGCTGCTGTTTGCCCTGTGGACCCTCTGATCATGCGTTTAGGTAAACACATTTTCCAAAGACTCATTTCTAATATACACATAGTTTTACTAGAGGAAGGGAAAAACAGGATGACTAATCAAGTGAAGGCTTAGAAAAGAGACGTGAAGCAGTGGAAAGATAAACACATATGGAAGATAAACAACTCATTTTACACAAAGACCTTCTATAAAGTACTTTTATCCTTCTTAAAATACTTGTGAGGTAGCATTTATCTCCAGCTAGGACCTGACACCTGCCTACCAGTGATACATCATGATAGAGATGATAAGAGAGCTGGAGACTCCTTGTCTCTTTATTTATGTGGCACTCAGGCCCAGAGCTCCCAGACTTCTGGACAGAGCTATGTGACTCACCTCGTAATAGTGTTGCATTTATGTTTTAAAACCTATAACAATTCTGACCTTGTACAAATTCAGTATATTGTTGGTATGTGGGAAATTGAAAAAAATCTTTAAACCACTGAGAATATTTTTATACAAGATAAGCCTCATCAAGGAAGGCTTCACCTGCACTTAACTGATAAAATGATACTTCAAATCCTTCAAGCTACTACAACATAATTCCTTCTTGATTTAAATTTGGACTGCACAGGACAATAAAATCTACTATAAATCTTGTCAAAATAAAGAAGGAGAGGTATGGAATAGTCCTGTCAGTTATTGAGACTTTGGAATGTGTTTGCAGCTTATATTCCCCAGACTTGAGGCACAACAAAGAGTGGCTTTAGAGCAACTTACCTGCCTGATTATTATGGTCATAATCTCAGAAAAGTTTTAAAGATAATTGTCTGTAGATTATTCTATACAGAACACAAAGGAGAAAAGAATGCAGGCTGTATTTTCAGGATGGAGTATTACACAACGTGATTTCCTGCTCCAGGACAACAACTTCATCTCCTGAATTTCTTCAAACTCAAACGTCAAAACTAGATACACTAAGCCATTGGTCATGTAAGTGCTGCAGTGAGAAATGTAAGATGTAGGAAACAGCTAGTAAGGTTTTTGCAATTATCAGCCCAATGATGCAGTAAAAGAATGTTTAAACTAAATAAACCTGAGGATGCAATACTAAAGTAACATTGAAGGTAAAGCAGGGAGCAGATATTCCTAAAAAGAGGAAGCCACAATAACACTGGAGTAGCTAGAAAACAAATGGTACATAAGCTCACAGAACTTTACCTATGTATCTCAATGAAAACAAAGGTAAGAGATCACCTCATTTCTGTGATACTTTGGAACTGTGGAGTGCAGTTTTATCCTGAAAGAAAGCAGCAGGATCCTCCAAGAGGCAACTGTCATCTCCTCTCTGCAAAACAGATCTCTCACTCTAAGGTATGGTACAAGCTTTACAGTTGCAATTCATAAGACAAATCACATCCAAAGGATGGAGGCAAAGAAGGACAGAAAGGCTGAGAATTTAAAAGACTTAAAAAAAAAAAAAAAGAAAATTTCCACCCATGTTTCAACCTGATGCATCTTTTCTGTTAAGGAAATATCTAAGGTAGAAAAAGAAATCAAGAGGTTTTATACTAAATTTATCTCCTGATTTTTAGGAGTGGAGGTCATAATTCTTATTCACCCGGACAGGAAAGCAGTGGCATAAAACCAAAAAATAATATAAATACCACAACTTCTGAAGCTACAGCTCCTGAACAATTCACGACCTGCTGAATAAAAGCTACGTGTTGGAGAATGGTAACCTTACTTGCAACATCATCACTGAGGGCTTGGGTTACAAAACCATTATAGCAAAGCAAAAACTTGCTACTCCTGTTAGCAGAACTGCTGCTTTCTGCTTTTAAAAGCTAAGATTTTATTAGGCCACTTCAAAAATCCACAAGAAACGTTTTTATGTGCAACACAAAGCCCACTGGGAAATTACTACCACAACATGTAAGAACCTTAAACAAGGGAAATTTACATTTCACTCAAGACTGTCCATCACTATTCAGCTCCTAGAAGGGCCCTAATCCCTTATGTAGATTTTAGGTTTGATGTATTTCAACCAGTACAGCAAGAAACAGAACAAGAGATAGCATTTAAACCATATTTTATGAAAAGAATATGGAATTACAAACAAATTCAAGAGATACTTTCAATAAGCACCAGAAAGTATAATATATTGTGCTTAGATGTGAAGCCAAATCCCATTTCTGAGTGTTTTCAGAGCAGTTCTGAATACCTTTTTCTACACAAGTACTTATTGATTTTATTTTAACTTAGGTAATCAGATTAGTAAAACTGGTTAAAGATTAAAGCACTCCAAGTCACAGAGAGCACAGGTTTCTGCACAGGCTCCAATACTGTGAAACATGAACCCTACTACATAACAATAGATTTAATCAAATTATTAATACATTGACCACAATAATTAAAATACCACAAAATAACTAGGGTTTGGTTGAGGCTTTATTTCAGTCTTTCCCTTTAAGAAAAAACTTACCTCTACACAAAAGATCTTAAGATCAAGTCCACATAATTGCATCTTCTCTGGAAAATGCTGAAAAACATTCAGATATGGAATATGACCTTCAACAACAAACCTACATTAAAAAAAATGAAGATCAAATCAGAATAGTATTTAGGATGACAAATGCATATGTTTATTCTAAGATTAATACACGGATCTACTTCTGATTTGAAATAACATCACTATTATATTGCCTGAGCAATTCAATCTGAAGTTTACACACCCCTAAATGCTCCACAGGACAAAAACTAGTTCAATCATTTAACAGCTTTTAAGTTCAAGCTCAGATATGACTGACAAATGATAACATTATGGCAGTAAGCATACAATCAACATACTTATATGGAGTTTGTTCTGCACATTCTTCAGCTTCTGCATTTCTGAAACTGCTTTTAAGCCTCCTTTGAATGGAATGGACTTTTTTTTCCAAAATTCTAAAGCTTTAAGTAAATTTTACTTTAAAAACACATACTTTCTGCTGGAGCAATTTGAATCAGGGAATATGGTAGGGAGGAAAGTCACAAAATGATCAGCAGATACACAGAACTGAAATCACATTAACTACATATGTATGGTGTGATTTTTGTAAAAAAAAGTATTATTAAGGTATGAATAAAAATTGGTTTGTATACTAATAAATAAAAACAGCTAAATTTTTATTGGCACCCAAATAATGTTTTTTATGTTAAAAACTGCCCTTGGTAAGTGGTCAACAGTAATATTTGATATTTTTCAGCACTTTTTCATATACGTATATATATATATAAAAGATGGGACTTAACAGAAATCAGTAAAAAGCCACCACCACACCAACCCCCTGCTCTTATCTAGCATCTTACAGATACCCCAACAGGCAAAGCAAGCACTGAACGAGCACAGACCCTCACAAGGGAACAAACTCATTCCAGACTAAAACACAGCAGTACTCTCCCATAGGACTAAGCTAGAACTGCCCTCCTGTCTCCTCTTCTGCAAACCAATTTTGTTAAAAAAGTACATTAAACTTGAGTAAGTTAACATTACAAACAGAGGAGACTGATCTTTAAATAATATTAGACACCTGAAAACTATTTTCTCTCTTGCTGACTGTGTTACCAGCACAGGACTTCCCTGATCTTGCTACATAGATTAGTAACTTGGTCTACAAACTGCAAGTCCCTCCTGGGTTTCTGCAGTGGCTGTAAGGTTGTATGGCTGTGCATCTGCTCCCAGTGCAAGGCAGTGCCTGAAACACCCCCGGCCCACTAGCTGAAACACTGAATTCCTCCTAAAGCAATCTGCCACTTACATTCAAAATGCACATACAGAAGAAAAAAAAGCAACCACCAGAATAAATAAAAAACCAAAAGGAACAAAAGCAAGGCAGAACAATGTCTTCAGAGACAGAGCAGCCAGTGTTGAGGAGGATTCATGTCCCTCCCTGAGCCTACAGCAATTCACAAGCTCACCTGCCCTCTCCCAGTCCAGTGCCCTCATCAGTACTGGTTCCATGTTATGTAGTGTGCATCTATTGAAGTTGATTAAAATTCTGCTTTAAAGCTAGTTAATGCAAAGTTTAGTTATATCCTGCTTTTTTTTTTCAGTCTGATCTGAATTTTCAGTTTAATTGAAAAAAATCAATTAAAATGAAAAATGCATTTCATTGTTCAAATTCTCTTTCAGTTAGAATTAACCTAACCCTTCCAGCATCTCAAGCCAGGGAAGCCAGACAGGGACTCTTCATTAGGAACTGCAGTGATAGGACAAGGAGTAATGGATATAGTTGAAAGAGAGGAAATTTAGACTAGAAGAAAGTTTTTACTGTGAGGGTGGTAAGACACTGGCACAGGTTGCTCAGGGAGGCTGTGGATTCCCCAAGCTTGGCAGTGTTCAAAGCCAGGTTGGAAACAGCCTTGAGCAACCTGGTCTGGTGGAAGGTGTCCCTGCCCATGTCAGGGGAGGTTGGTACTAGATGGTCTTCAAGGTCCATTCCAACCCTTTTAACAGTCTATGATTCTATGATTTAGAATAATTTCTGAAAAATAACAGCAATCTGAAAAATCTGGCTGTGTGCTCCTGCTGTTCATCACCTTCCCCAAACGTAACTCACAACAGCAGCAGAAAACCATCCATTACCCTACTGCCAGAAAGGGTTTACTTCCCAACATCTAACAAACTGAGGAGGCTTGCAGATGGCTCCATGAGTTGGAAGAGGGAAGGGGATGCATCACACAGGCAGGAGAAAAGAAGAAAGGGAAGCAAGACCTTCCTCTTTCAGCAATGGTGACCCATTACTGGCTCAGCAGATTATAAGCTTTGGCTGACACGAGATAAGGCACAATCACACCATTAGCTGTCCAATCTATAGGGCTGGAACCAAGACACCAACAGCAGCAACCTCCTAAGCCAGCACAGCAGCAGCTGGAAGAGGGCAGTGAGGACCTTGGGTGTGGTGTAGTGGTCATGCAGCCAAACCACCCTAACAGCTTGCTGCCTCTGAAACGGGAAATCCACCCTCCCTTCAGTCCCCTGCCACACACTCCTCCCTGCTGACAAAAGCACTTGTGTGACTTCTCACAGGATCAGATTGAGAACTAGTCTCTTCCAGGTTTTGCATCCAACCAGACAGATTTCCAGGCTCAGGTGACCACAGCAACATTTCTGCCAGCACAAAGCAGAAAGGGACTGCAACAAAGCACATTAACCTGCACCAAAAATGTCCAGTGAATCTTTCTTTAACAAAATTCATCTCCTACCAATCTACTTGTTTCAACTAATGAACCATAAAACAGATGAATGCTAGTACCCAGGGCAAGAGAAAGAACAAGAATGTCTATGCAGGACCACAGCAACAGAAACTCGGAGCAGCTTAAACTGATGCTGGAACTACATCCTTACACTGCAAGAGACAAGCAATGTCCATCAAAATGTCTTGGTTTTTTTCCTTTTACAAAGAAGTTGTCACTAACTTGGCTGTACAAAGTCAATGCACTGCAACTGTTTAAAAAATAGTGACATCTTTTCTAGCTTGAAATTGCTGTCTCCATAAAAAAAGAATGATCTCTCTCAGGTAAAGAGTTGTTTTTACATTCTAAAAATACATGAAACAGTGTAAAACCCTGTTATAAATACAGTGTGCTGATGATTCAAGCTTTTAACCCTTAATCTAAAAGCCCAGATTTGGAATAGCACTTCAGAACAATTTCTTCTGTCTGCTGTTTCTCCAAACCTTTCATTTTACAGACAGATGGTCAAAACACCTGTAAGACTATGTTCTATCAGGGAAGTGCTCGAAAACCTGACTTGCAGATAGAGTACACAGTCCATGTACTTTTAATTACAGCAGCAGCATACATTAGTAAGGTCCAAGTATGAAAAAATCCCAGGTCCTCAGCACGCTACAAGGAAGTGATGCACCTGTTAGAGCCACACAGTAATGCCACAAACTGATTACAAGTTTAGTCTTGCCAGCACAGCTAGGTACAAGCTCATTTGAAAGGCATTATTTCTCAGAATCTCAGAGTCTAGCATCTTGCAACTTCTTCCAGTGGCCAACAATTTTATTATTTAGATAAATAACATATAGCATATGGTGCATTGTGACTCTATTCACAATAGAAAAGGATTTAATGTGCAGCACAGACTTGAGTAGAAGGTTGTTTAAAATGTTATTTTTAAACCAAAATGTTCCAGTTGGAGGAGGTAATTGTAGTGTTTTTTCTGCTAAGTGTGTCAAGCAGCGAGGAGGAGTATATTTTTGGTGTTGTAAATCCTTTAAAACCTGGCAGATTGCCCCACCATAGTGCCTAAGCATGTATCACAAGGGAGGAGTGGTAGTCAGCTGACTTCAGGGTATAAGGAAAACCAAACTGAGGAAAAAACAAGGCAGAACTTTAAACACAACTCTAATTCAGAGGGTTTAAATAAAACAATTTGCCTACCAAGACTTAAAAGGTAATGCGGAATACTTAATGCTTTCTCTGCATAGTTTTCATCTTTGGTCTGTCGTTATTTTGATCTGTGTATCTTAATGCATGCAAAAATGTGCACATTGTCTCATTTTTTAAACTTAAATATTCAGAGATTAGAAAACAAGTATTTTATGGTAGTTCATGCCATTTAAAATTCTTTCCCCTTCTTCATCAAACTTGTTGAAAGGCAAAGACCTTAAGGGTAGGGAGGGAAGCATGATAACGTAATTACAGTCTTATATAACTATCGTAGCATGGTAAAACTTTGCAATACAAATGACATTCCTTTAAATATCACTTTCTGTACTTAATTCAGTTCGTATATTCAGTGTATTTGAAGCCACTGAATCATTATGATTTGCCCAGTTTTAAGAGTATTACACACATAAATTGTATCTCATGAAATGGTATATTCTTATTCAAATCATCTTATTTCAATTTCCAGTTATTACTTTTGGATTGTGTCTTTCTGTGCTATATTTGGTACTTCATTTTTTTGCTCTCTCTTTTTCCAGCTTTGTTTACTGCTTTCATGTTTTCTCTAAATCATTTAAAGTGTGTTCTTCTCTTAAGGATCGCAGTACAAAGGATGTTCTCCAGGTTCTGAATCATTTTCCTGGATCTTTTCTGCAGTCCCCAGTTTTTAAAATGCCAAATACAACAATATACCATTCATATGCAAACAAAACAATCTGCCTTTCCTCTTAACAGTTGACTTTGATGGTTGTCTTTTGCTTGTTTTCTTTTCCAACCACCTCATCGTACAAAGACAGCAACTAGTGAGGATGTCTTTGCCTGCTATGACCCAACAATGTTTCCAAGATACAATAATCAAAGAATAGATGTTAGAATTATTAATTTTCCTCTCCAAACAGGCTGGAGCAGTTAATAATTCTTTACTGTGAACCAGCTGCTCCATCCCAACAGTGGCAAATTACTACCTGGATTTTTGCCATGTACAAACATTATCAGACAGGTTTTATATTATTTATTTTCTAATCATTGACAGAGAGATTAGGCTATGGTATTTCTGACTCCTACAGAATTTCTTCAGGAGGACAGTAGCCAGTAATAAATCTTGTTATTGAAAACTACTTGTGAGTTCTACTATTTCTCAATCTACTCAATAAACACTTCTGTATTGCAGGTGCTAGTTTGAATGCTGAATACTAAGGCATTTAACTAAAAATTTTACAAGCATCTTTTAAGCAACAGCATATCCAGTTATGCAAATATGCAATGGTTTGTGCAATTCTGATCAATGAAGATGACAGCCACCCCTAAAGTAAAATCAAAGGGCTAAACTGTCTTGCATAGAAATAAATTATCCAGTATTAACTACTGCATTTCAAGACATACGAACCACCCCTTTTTTGAAAGTACTGGAAACAGAGCATTCTTCAATACCCACCCTTCTGGGAAAGCTTGTGCAAAGCTAGAAAATTGCAGGCAGAAGCTGACACTTCAGTGGGGAGAGGCCACAATGGAAGTTCGGGCTCTGGTGTAAACCTCCCCTGCATTCATCATCCTTTCAGCAGCTACACCAGTTATAAGCACTACAGCTGGGGGATGATGCAGTCATTGCTTTGCCCTTTAACTCACAGGTTATATATTTGAAAAATAAAGAACTGAAATATATCATATCAAATGAATTTAGAATCAGTTTTTCCTTTATTTTGTCTGGGTTTTCAACTTGATTTGTCAATGTAGTTACTCGAGTATTTCTGTTCCCTAAATTTTGGCAAAGTGAAGACTTCTTCACCATCTTTTTAGAAATACCCAATATTTTAACAGTTGTTAAAAAGGAGCATCACTGTACAAAAGGTCTTCCAAGGAAAATCAAGGAATTCCTGAACTTACAACTATTTGAGCCTGATTTAAAATATTTATTGCCAACAATAAAGGTTGATGAATTATTTTTGATTCCTGAAGTAAATAGGGAATGTGATCCCAGCCTTGCTGTAGGAGAGAGAAAGGAACTGCATTGTCAGCAATAGCTTGACAGTCTCCATTTAGCATCAAACCCTATTATTAGAACAATTTATTTCTACTGTATTAAAAGGTATATTATTGTGAACTCTGATAATTACAAAGAGATGAAGGCAAAATGGACTTCATGCATTAATTTCTGTGCCCAACTCCATTGCATGGAGCTACTCAGCTACTTCTCAGATCACTATGTACTGCTGGTATTGTTTGTATGATGACACTGCTCTAAGTCCTGGAGAATGTTTACTCATTTAATTCTGACATGCTGACAATTGCAAATATCACAAAACTGTTACCATACACCCCTCCAGTGAATATTAGAAAACTCTGAAGAAGGACAAAAACTTGTTTAGCTCCAAAACCTTCTTTACAGGTCTTTGAAATTCATTGCAACCAACAGAGAAGAAGGTCCTCCAGCAGCAGCTGCACAAATTGTTATGTCAAAGGAAAGATAACTAAACATAGAGAACTTCTTGCTATTACTCAGCAAATTCGTAAGAGTGCAATAGTACAGATCCAGTATTTTTAAAAATTATTATTTATAAAAGCAACAATTCTTCACTAGAGCCTGTTCATACCTTAAGAGCTCAGACAACGTAATTGGTTCTCTCGACCAGAGCAACGCCATGTAACAAAATGAAAGAGTCATTGGCATCGTCATCCTCAGCTTCCCCTTTTGGTTCTTCATTGCATACAAGCTTCCATCTACCGACCCAGAGTACGCAGAGGTGCTTTCTTGGGTATATGTTAAAAAGAGAAAGGAAAAAAAGTAACCAATACAATATACACATGATCCATGGTACACAGAAAACAAGAAAAAGGAACATACAAAGGACCCTTGTTCAACAACTAGTAACAGTTGGAAATAATTACTTGGAGTAGTTTGGTTGTTTACGTACTTTTCTGCTAAACAGCATAACTCTAATTCATTCATTTACCATGGTATCAGCTGACAACCTGTTCCATAAACTGCTTCTTCACTTGACTAAGACACTGGATGATATGAAAAGACAAAACTCCCTCAGGTAGCTATCAAAACTGACCTTTTGTTGGGAACTATACTTAAACCTGGAGTTCTGGAAGGACGTTAACTCCAATGCAACATATAACTAACAGTACTTATAAGCTGGGAGCACTATTTTCCATCTGAGACATAAGGGAACGGTGAGAAAACAAGGGAAAATTTGATGTACTTAAATCAATGCCTCAGAGTTGGGGATTAAAACACAGAGTTTTAAACTTCAGCACATGCAGGACTTTAATGAAAAAGTTAAATGAAAAATTTAACAAAAAATTGCAGTTTTTTAGCAAAAACCTGCCCTACAATCTCTAACTGTGGAAACACAGGTATTCCTTTAAAAAACATATATACGTTCAAAGTCAAAGAAACAACTTTAGAACAAAAGTGTAGCAAATGGTGAGGAGGGTAGAAGAAAATCCAAACAAATAAACAACCAAACCCCGCCTAGTTCCTTACTGAGATGAATCAGTAAAAACTAAAATAAATAGCAAAGAGAACATTTAATTTAGTAGAGTGATTTATGAGTTGGGAAACATTTAAGTGAGACCTGAGAGTTCAGGGAAGGAAGATGGAAATAAAATGGAAAAAAAAAAAGAAGAAAAGCCTCTCTCCTACACATCACAACCCAGCCAGGAGGAAGGAAAATGCATTTAAAGCACACCAGCACAAAATTCAGCATTGACTCTGCAGAGATCTTCCTCCCTGTGTTTCCCCACAGACTGTTCACCCGCTCAGACAGGAACGGTGAGAGCAGGATCCACAGCTCCCCACTGGGAGCTGCAGGGCCATGGCAAGCAGCCTGCAAGAAACAAGTTTAAAACTTGGGAGCTTGGCTGCTCCACGGGTACACCGGCAGGCGACAGCCAGGGCTGCGCGGAGGCAGCGGGGGAGGACACAAGCACCGGCAGGACGAGGCCACCGCAAGCAGCGC